CGGGGGTTTATTAGCCACTCTCTGAATTCCTACTTGTTCTAAGGACTGGGTTTGATACTTAATTGTTATGGCTTCCTGGGTTTACTCTACAGGTTACTAATTTCTTCCTCTGAAGGTTCTTTTGGCTTTAGCCAGTCATTCCCTTCTGACTCTTACATGCTTTTGTGTATACCACTCTCATTCTGCTTAAATAGGGATTCATGTTAGAGGCAATATTATGTTTGAAACTGCTAGCTCTGTAGTGCCCATACTATTTTAAAAAGTGAATTTAAAAACTTTAATTAAAATATAATTACTTCCTTTTCCTTCCTCCAATTCCCTCAAAGACTCCTCCACCTAGCTCTTTCCGTGCCCCCTCCATGTGATAGCCTCTTTTAAAAATTTATTATCGTTATATGTATGCATAAATATATTACAACTGCTGAGTCTATTTTTGCTGTTTGTGTGTATGTGGTTTCAGGAATGATCACTTTGTGTTGGATAACCACTTAGGAGGCTCGTCCCTGGGAGAGGTTAATTCTCCCTCTCCCAGAAGTCATTAATTGCCTGTAGTTCTTTGTTTAGGGGTGGAGCCACTTGAGATTTCTCTTCTCTGCTAGCCTATCTATTGATTTTGCCATTGTTCAGATCTTATTTGTGTAGCCATTTCTATGATACATTGTTTCACATCAGACTTCCTGGTATCCCAGCTCTTAAATTCTTCCCAGTCTCTCTCTTCCTCATGTTCGCTGAGCCATGGATTCAGGAGCTGTGATGTTCCCTGAGCCATTGGAGCTGGAGCCCTCACCATCTGTTGATCTCTTCATTGTTCCTGTTACGGTTTTCTATGATGGTCTCCATTTGCTGTAAAGAGAAGCTTTTTTGATGTGGGGTGAGAGAGAGCTACATTTACCGATGGGTATAAGGATAAGATTGAAAATGCCGTTAGGAATTATGCTGACCTTGCAAAGTGGTGGCAGTAGATCTTCTTCTAAGATCCATGACCTCACCAACCGTGGGAAGTTGAGTAGGTTTCTGGTACCAGGCGTAATTCCGTCCTGTTGAGTGGGCGTTAAGTTCCATTAGACTGAGGTTGGTTGCCACCAACATGTGAGTAAGACTTACTGCATTTTTATGTCTAAGGCTGGCATTTATAGGTGTCACAGCTGGGTAGGACTATAAATGCCTCTCTCCCTTGGCAGCTTGTATAGTATTTTCTGGTACCGTGGAAGCTAGATTGCAGGAAGGAGACTCTCACATTTGATCCAACTCGAATAGTGTGAGTCCCATGTCTTAAGTGTGCAGTGTCTTCAGCAATAGGGACCTACCTTCAACCTCTGAGAGGCAGCCAAGGGTGACAGACATAGTCTATGTTGTTTTGGGAGTCATTGGACTATCCTGACTAACCATTTGAGAGACTTCCCATGGTTTGCACTGGGGGTTTTGTTAGTCTATAGTTCTTGTAGGGAGCATTGTCAGCCCAAATGGCCTTATGTGTGTTGTATAATTTTAGGCAAATATTAAATGTTTCCATAAGGGTTTATCAAAAAACATTGGTATTGGGGTTGGAGAGATGGCTCAGAGGTTAAGAGCACTGACTGCTCTTCCAGAGGTCCTGAGTTCAATTCCCAGCAACCACATGGTGGCTCACAGCCATCCACTATAAGATCTGGTGCCGTCTTCTGGTGTGCAGATATACATGGAGGCAGAATGTTGTATACATAATAAAAAACATTGGTATTATTTTCTCCCCTTCCTTCTCCTTCTGTATTGACTTCCTTCCCGTCACTCAACTGAAATCTCTCTCCCCATTTTCCCATTTCCCACTTCATATCACCTGTATCCAGCTGTTCCCGCCTCAAGAGTCCCCTCCCCCATCACAAATCGCTTTATAGTTTCCTGTTTCTGCTGTTACTCCATGTATATCCTCACATCTGAAGATTTGGAGCTAGGAACCACAGATAAAAGAGAAATGCAGCATTTGTCTTTCTGAATCTGGGTCACCAAACTCAACGCAATGTCTTCTAGGTCCATCCATTTGCCGTCAACCATTCTGCTTTCCCTTTTCTTTACAGCTGAATAGAATTCCACAGCTTGCAGGCGAGGCATTAACAGACGCCTTTGCTTCTGTAAACCTTGATGTGGGAAAGGGATGAAATGGTCTTTTTATTACTATATATTGGGAAAGTCAGAAACAATCGGGAGAAGCAAGCCAAGCAATGCTCCTGCCCAGCTGTGGGGTCCATGGACAGTTGTGATGCTTATGTTTCTGATGTCTGCCTTCAGACCGCCTTAGCCCCCATTTGGGCACAGCATGCTGTTTGGCGCTCAGGCTTCTGTCTTTCTGCTAGCAGTAAGCATAAATTCATTTAATCTAAATTTGAACTGAGTCTAAGTGAAGAGCTCTAGCAAGCCCATGCATGGCAAACACGGCTCTGGCAGGCCTTGCCCTTCCCTGATTCCTCTTCCTTGCTAAAAACCCTAAGATTCCATTCCTAAAGCTACTCACCAAGGTCTATTCGCTTATTTGACTACTTCCTCCTTGTTCAGTTGTCTTCCAAGGTCCAGCTATCAAAGTATTGAAGTCTAGCAATCAAAACCCCTCTTTGGCTGCCCTAATTTAACCTGTCCAATCAAAATTTAACTCCTCATTCATAAACTAAACTCATAACAAGGAGTTTCCCCTTTCACCTTTATAAGCTGTCATTTGCCTATGTGACACGTCTGTCTCCTCTCTATCCAGAGGCAGTCCTCTCTGGGACAAACACCTCTGTCCCCTTTCCTTTGTTCCTTCCCCTTCCTCCCCATCCTCTATCTCCTGTCTTTGTCCCTTATCCCTGCCCTCTGTCCCTCTGGGGCAAATAAATCTTCTTGGTGCTGAGAACTCGCTCTTGGGGGTCCTGAGCTGATACCGATTTCTTCCAGTGGATCTGAATGCCACAACAGTTTACATACACATACAAACCCATACATACCAATAAATATGTGGCACGCAATCAGGTGTCTAATAAGCCATAACCTTAGCAGTGGCCTTATTATTTAGATTGCTTTTGAGACATAAGATGACATCGACAGGTCACATAAGACCCTTACAAACTCAGCCACAGCCAGTAAACAAACCAAAAAACCCAATGATAGGACCCTGGGAGAGCACTGAGTGAAGGTTTTGGAACCCTCTACAGGACATTTGAAAGGAAGAGTGTAGAGGAGTTTAGGCAGTTGGGTGGTTTTAACCCCTTTTTTGTTTGTTTATAGCTTGTAGCTGAGAGCTGCTTCCCTTTAGGGATGTGTGTGGGGGGGAGGTGTGTGAGGGGGGAGGTGTGGGGTGTCTGTGTGTGTGTAGGTGTGGGGTGTCTGTGTGTGTGTGGTGTGTGTGTAGGTGTGGGGTGTCTGTTGGGGGGAGGTGTGTGGGGTGTGTGTGTAGGTGTGTGGTGTCTGTGTGTGTGTGTAGGTGTGTGGTGTCTGTGTGTGTAGGTGTGGGGTGTCTGTGTGTGTGTGGTGTGTTTGTAGGTGTGGGGTGTCTTTGTGTGTGTGTGAGAGGTGTGTGGTGTGTGTGTGTGTGTGTTAAGGTGTGAGTGTGGGGCCTGTAGCTCCTGGGTTGGAAGAGGAGAGAAAAGGAACTCTAGAAAGGAGAGGAGGAGGAGGAGAAACAGCATGAATGAGGAAGAAAGCAATTGCTGAGGAAGGTCGATGTCACTGAATGCATTTTGTAAATAAAGTAAGTTGGGACTTTGCAAATTGGACATATTTTAAATGGAACACTTTTAAAATGCAATTCAGGCACGAGTCTTAGGAGGCAGGGGTCATAACCTGACTCACGGGGTGAGGTGGTGAAACAGAGTTGCGGTTGGTTAGATCAAGGGAGCCTGACCTGGAGGGGGATTTCATTGGACTCAAATCAGCTGTGAGGGGAATGAGGAGGAACTCATTATTCTAGAGAAACCGAGAAGGTAGCTATTTGTTTTTCTTCCTTCTGGACAGGAGGGGGAACTTAGAGTGGAGGCGTGTGGTGAATTTCCCCATTGAGAGAAGCAGTGCTAGATAGAGTGAGGTCCTGGAGAGGAAGATAGGCTGCCGGCAGGGAGGGCTGCATGGGGCGCAGGGAGCGGGGTGCTGTCAAAGAGGAGAGGGCGGGGCTTAGCACTGCTGGGTCAGGAGAAAGGAGTGGGAAACAGAGATGTGGGGATGCTTTGTAATTACAGAGAGCCTCCCAGAAAGAAAGGAAGTGGCCGCGATGAGCCAGCCTGCGCATTAGCGCTGGTACTGTCAGTATCTGATCAGCGCGGAGAGCCTGGCTCGGTTGGA